AAGCCGATCCCCCTCCCCCTCCGCCTCCGACAGTCCATCAGTTCGAGCCCGTACTGATACGAGGCATCGGGTTTCCTCCCCGGTCGTTATCCCGCCGTCCCCTTGACTACCTCACCCTCCGTCAAATCACCACCCGTATCACCTTCCCCCGTAACCCCTTCCCCATCGACACCTTCCGATTCTTCGACGYCACTCGCCTCGTTGTTACCATTCAACCCCATCCCTCGACCCGATGCGCCCTCCCCAATTTCTACCTCCATACCCTTCTCCTTAGTGCCGCGTGGCGAGGCCACAATATGATCGAGGTTTATTGCATGATTACGGGGACTATCCCCGCATGCGAAAACCACGATCATTTTCGCGCGGCACTCTTCCGCACTTTTACCACCCTGTATCCCGACTACCTCGCCTCCCTCCCGCACACTGGTAATCGCTTCCCCCGTTTCCACCGGATCGTCCGTCACCAGGAGCTCCCAGAAACAATAGCCCAGGTGGATCGATTCTTACCCCCGCTTCTCTTCAACCCTCCCCCTCGCCATGCCCCCATGTATCGGCTTCCGTTTCCCCTCCTCGGTGGACAGTGATGATCGACGATAGGGTGATTGGTGCGCGTGCCATGGCGATGACACGAATAACCCCCTCCTTGGGTTGATGAGAACCTTCCTGAGGACATTGTAGGATAAAGCTTGCATGGCACGTTGGATGACTTCCACACCCCTTCGCACGGTAAGTGCCAAAGAAAAAGCTCCGCATGTCGATTGATTAGAAAAATCGACACGTGTCATGTCAAGCAAGCGGGAGCTTGCTTAAGATTGGAACCCCCTGGGCGTCACATATGAGACGAACCGATTTCCGCACCTCGCGATTTTCTGCGCGGTAGCGACGAGGGGTCCTAAGCAAGGAAGGATGGGCCAATTACGGGAGATTGGGATGGTTGGGAAATTGCATCGGTGTTCGTCCTTTTTCGTCATCTGTTGGATGGCTGGGTTCGGGGCCGGGTGAGTCCCGGGACGATCGATTGATTGATCGTCTGTGAGAATGGCACGCCATTGTGCGCACGAATAGTAAATGTTAACGTCGCTTTTTTTGTTTCTATTTTGGACTTTTGGGCGCGAACATCGCGCGGGAATTTTGCTTCGTTCTTTTTTAATTTTCTTTTTGAATTMTTTTTCAGATCTTGCCGAGCCCTGAGGGCTCTAGCAATTTCGGACTTCCTTTTCGGAGTGGTGCTTTTTGCTTTTCCGCATTGGATAGGAATTTAGGAATTTTGCAATTAGATTTTCTTTTGCCGCACGACGCTTTTTCCTTACGCGCTTCTTTGTGCGGCTGCAACAGAACTCTGATTAGTCGGCGCCTTTAATCGTGTGTGTAACTGTAATTTTGGGCGGGTGCCATTGTAACTGTATCCTTTCTTCTTGTGCTTCGTCTTTCCCGCTCTCGCGTTCTCTTGCTGTGTCTAGCCAGCCCGCGGGCTGCCTGATCGGATCGATGCGTGGAGAGAGGCTACGTCCCCCACGCCGCGGCCCGACCATGCAGAACGAAGGCGCTCCCTCCCCTGATCTCCCTCTAAGTCCTTGCAATTCCGTGTTCTTCGTGCATGCATGCACGCTATAAATTACGGCTGCGCGATTAGACAGCTCTCTTAACCAGCTGTTGGAAGCTCG